AGATAGCACCCCAGGTGTGGAACTGAACCCAGGGCCCCAGAACAGCCAGACAGCAATGCTAACCACTGCACCACCATGCCCCTGCCCACTTCATCCAATTCAGGGTCACGGGGAGCTAGAATCAAAAGATCAATTCAATTAACAGCTTTTTGATCATATGATGGGATTATAGAACAGGAGACACTTATTTTTTAACATATTTTCACAGACCATGGAATAATTTTGGCTCCCAAGGTTTATAGAGATAATTGCCTAATTTCGCAGGGGACTGTATTTTATAACATGACAAGGAGGCAAACTGCAGTCACTGGCAGTGGTTTTAAGTCACATGTTCGTGTATCATTTGTCACAGACCAATGTTTCTATATGTCACACAGCCTTTCAACTTAACCAAATGCAGTTTAGGGCAATTTTTGAACAACTGTTGTCTGTAAGAGAAAGAAAGACTGAGCCCAGGGCCCCAGTGCTGTGAGGAAGCAATGCTAACCACAGTGCCACCCTGGTACTTCCAATGACATATTATATCATCTATCAGGGTTTTTAATACTGTACCACCTCTTTCTTATATAAAACATTATTGAATATTTAATCTTAAACAGAGCTTTTCAACATAGCAACATAGTTACTGTGCCCTGACAGAAATTATAAGGCTGACTTCTTTTTAGAAAGTCATTCAATTAAAAGGAACCTGGGTGGGGTATGTTGATAGGAATTGATTATGGAAATAATCCTATTCCACTGTTTGCAGGAAGTCTTTCTATTATTACCCTCCTGAACTTTGTTTCTCTTGGATGAGGCAAGCAAAAGTTAAAATGGGATTTAAACAGGGGTTATTTATGTCACCTCAACACAGCCATCTGAGTTGAAATGAGAAGCCTGCTGTACAATTAAGAGACCATTAAACTGACTCTTTCCTCAGAAGCCTTAGACTGAAGCAACACTCACAGATTAAGCTGATGACATGACTTTCAATTACCATAATGATTAAGGAAATGATGACAAACAAATAAGAACCAGATATGAAGACCTAACTTTGTTTTCTGCTATTGACGTTTACACTTCACAAGAGGTTCCAT